CTTATACTCACTTCTTCTGTAGATGAAGCTGGATCACGAATGATTCGTGCGAACTTAAACGCATTTAGATCGGGGATCGGCGCATTCCCTTAAAAAACGAAAGTAACGTTAATCCTCTGCGTCTTCAGCGGCTCAGATGTCGGGAGTAAATGACGACTGCTTTATTCATTATTACATCCAGCAACAAAACACCTCAATCGCTTAATCGGAGACGTTCTTGTCTTCCCCTGCACCGGAGTCGACACAATGGCGGACTGATGACAGCTCACTCAGGGCGGAGCTAAGGTAAGACAGACCTGTCACTCAACTATCGTGGGAGGGGCCTGTGCAGAACTAGGTCATTCTGACAGGAATCTCAGAACAGCCTGATTTGAGAAAGGGGATTTTAAAATAGGGATTTTTATCATTATAGGGTGGATGTGTACACACACATTTATGTTCAAACAACAACAAAAGTGAATTTTGCATCCGATGACCCCTTAAAGGCTGTATTTTGTGATGACAATCAGCTGACTGTATGCATTGTTATACTGTTATCCCTTATACGTTCTCATGAGTTTATTGTATGTATTCTGAGTGCTGTAGGAAGCTCAGTCTCAGGCCGCAGAGACACAGATGTGTGTGTTTATGATGAACTGGACTCACTGCAGTAAGGAACGGTGTGTTTTTCTTGCTCAGACTCTGTTCCAGCCAGTTCAGTGGCTCCTTCATCACAGCGGCCGCTTCGACATGTTTCCCCTGCAGCGCCACCATGTGGAGAGACTGCAGCACTGCCGGCTGAACACACACACACACACACATTATAAATCAATGTCTTTCTACAGCAACACTCAAACAAATACTTACATTCAAGATTTATGTATTGGAATTGCATATAAAACTCCCATTCATTTGGATTACACAGTTTTAATAAATAAACTAATAAACATAATGTGATGTATATTTTGTCAGTCAAAATCAATAAAACAGGTCAGATTTCTGTAATAGTACTAATAAACTAAATGTGTTTTAATATACACAATAACTAATATATATATATATATATATATACACACACACACACACATACATATACATACATATACATACACACACACACAGTATATGTATATATATATATATATATTGCTTGTTCCATCTTCATATTTTTTAACTGAATAAATGTAACCGTTTTCATGATAAACAGACTTATGTTGATTCTAAGCTATTTGATTAAATGCATTTTGAAAATATGATTTAAATATAAACAGATTTAACAAATATTTAAATATGAATATATATAATATCTGAATAATTTATACACACATACATTATATACATATATTTAATATGAATATTTAAATTCATATATTTATTGATTTGAATATTGCTTGATCATATTTTAATCATCTTTATATTTTTTAAATGAATTCATTTAACTTTTCACAATGAACTGACTTATGCCGTTTGAGTCAATCTGAATGAAAGCATTTTGAAAGTATTATTTAAAATGCAAATAGTTAATAATACATTATGGCATGGTCTCCTGAATACAGAAATCGGACAAACATGCATCACATTGAGTTTATTAATTCGTTTATGTTTAAACCGTTAAATCAAAATGCATGGAAATTGTATATGCAATTAAAATGCATAAATCATATGCATAAAATTTAGAGCTATTCTTTTTTTTTGAGTGAAGACATGTTGGTCACGTCTTGGTCCTGGACCTAAACCTGAAGCGATGGGTTGTTCTGATGGCAATGTTTTCATCAGAATGTTATTCTGTTTGTTAATCTGTCTTGTGTGAACATGCAGAATCACAGGATGTCCACAAGTGATAAATGAATCTGAGCCTAAACTATTTTATCTGATGCAGTTATTGTAAAAATGTATTTTGCATGCAACACATTGTGCTGTATAGGCAGGGCTGTACGTTAACTTTTTTTTCACACAGCACTGGTACTACAGAGGTTGAAAGTTTTGTAGCACAGGCCAAAAAGTTGTAGCACAAGTATAAAACGTCTGTTATCATGTCTGAAAACAAACACAAGTAATGGAGTTCATCATTTAAACAGGCACTGATGTTCCATACAGAGCACAAAAAATGCAAACCATCACAAAAATTGTTTTTAGACAAAGTTTTCTTAATTTGCTAAAAATGGAAGAGTGCAGAAACATAACACCTCTTACACCTTAAGAAAATATTAAATAAAAAAAGAATGGCAGACATTTAGGCCAAAGTGAGCAAAGGTTAAAATCTTTGTCATTATTTTATCTTTGTTATTAGAAAATAAGAACAAAGATATACATTACAAATACACATAATATACAAATAAAACAAACAGGGCTTTATTTTTCAGGTACAGTATTTAGCAGTAAAATTCAAGAAATTGAATGTACAAATATTAAAATAAAACACTATATACAGTAATGGAGTTCCATCACTTAAATAGGCACTGATGTTCCTTACAGAGCACAAAAAATACAAACCATCACAAAAATTGTTTTAGACAAAGTTTTCTTAATTCGCTAAAAATGGAAGAGTGCAGAAACATAACACCTCTTACACCTTAAGAAAATATTAAATAAAAAAAGAATGGCAGACATTTAGGCCAAAGTGAGCAAAGGTTAAAATCTTTGTCATTATTTTATCTTTGTTATTATGTTTTAAACCTGAATTAGTTTATTTAGTCTGTTGAACATAAAAGTTATTTTTTGAAGAATGTGGGTAACCAAGCAGCTGCTGGTATTATTTTCCTACTGTAAAAGTCAGTGTGGACCAGCTACTGTTTGGTTACTCACATTCTTCAAAATATCTTCTTTTGTGTTCAGCACAAAAAAGAAATTAATACAGTTGGGACACAAAATGTGAGTAAATGACAAATTAAATTTTTGGGTGAACTATCCCTTTAATGACAGTGGCAGCATGTTTATAGCTACTGTCCCTTTAAGAGCTGCACGCGTTTCTCTCTCAAATGTTTACTTTCATTTTAGACATAACCAACTGTTTATATGTAAACCTTGTGTGTTTTTCACAATCAGACGTGAAAGACAACTTAGTCCAATAATCAGGCGCTTTTTGACAGGCTCTCAGTGTGAGCGCGCTTCATGAGTACGCGCTCAGAAAAGCGCATGCAGAACTGCACGTGAATTAAAGGTTTAACCGGTATTGCTTTAAAGCAGATGGAAATAATGTAGTTTTGTGACTGCGCATAAGTGCAGTGTCCCGTGAGAGTAACTACCACTGAGCTAACACTGATGTGAATGCATGTGGCGTTGTACATTATATTGAGACGGAGGAGGCGCCAGAACTGCAGCTGATAGAATGTGCGCATATATGTCGCACTGTACAGCCCTGTGTATAGGTAATCTGTTGCAGTTACCTAATTATAATAATAATCCGTGTTGTCATATTCATCATTCATCTTTGCGATAGTCACCTGTAAATTGGTTGCTTCCCATTCTAGCCACTGGTTAGTTGCGTCAGTCGCCTTTTGACCGCTGATGTCGAACAGGTATCTGTGGAAACAACATGCAAATATATCACTGTGTCTTTGTGAAATTTGTTTGACATTCGATAGGCTTTAGGTCAAAGCCTGTTGATATAACAATAACACTCTTTTAAAATAACACACAACATCATACGCCAAAAATTCTAAATTCTAATTCAAAGACCCAAGGACAAGTAAATTAATTTGTCTGGTTATGTTTGTCAGAATGAGACTGTGACAGATGCACTGGTTTGTGCATTAAAATTATTTGATTATGGTCTCCTCCAACAGTTCGTTTTACTGTTATGCACTGTATATAATTTATATAATAATTTCAATCCACTGCAGGTGTGCACACAGAGCAAAGTGACTATAAAATGGGTTTATCGATGAACTTCAGTCTATAGTATCTTCTGATAATCAACCTGTTTATCTGCATTACAGGACGAGCTGGCTCTGTTGTTTAGGGAGCAACGGTTTTGTTTTTTAATGCTTTCATTGTTAATTGTTGAGTTTTTACTTTCTCTTTTTCGGTCTTTGTGTTATTTTTCCTCAAGGGGATGCATTTACATTTTATTTCGACCCATAGTTTAATTTGCTGGTAATTACTAGCAGTGCATTTCCTAGAGACTAGAGATATTGTTTTTTTGTACATCTACACTTGTGAGTTTTTTTTAACAGGATAACAAATAAGATTCACCATTTTGCACTACTTGACATCACTTTGTAAAACTCTATGATTTTGTGCAATAACTGATTAATTAAAAGAGCACGTTTGCATGAATATCATAACCTCAGACTAGTAATACTGCACTCTAAAAAATGCTGGGTTGTTTCAACCCAATGTTGGGTCAAATATGGACTAACCCAACTGTTGGGTTAAAAAGTTAATTTAAAAATGTAACCAAAATTTAACCCAACAGTTGGGTTAGTCCATATTTGACCCAACATTGGGTTGAAACAACCCAGCATTTTTTAGAGTGTGGGAGAATGTTATATCTGTCAAACCTCTGTTACTCTTCTGAACATATTTACTTATTTAATAAATTAGTTTTTCATGTAGATAATACAGTGCAATTTATTGTGTTGAATATTGAAAATCTGACCTACATAGCAAACAGACACCCCTGATTTTTAATTAATTAAATTTTTAAATTGTATGCTTATATATAAAGCCATTATTCATTATATAATGCATCGCTAAGGACTTCATTTGAACAACTTTAAAGGTGATTTTCTCAATATTTAGATTTTTTTAACAGACCATACATCAATGGAAAGCGTATTTATTCATCTTTCAGATGACGTATACATCTCAATTTCGAAAAGCTATTCATATGAAGAGTTCATTTGCAAAAACAGATAACTGTTTTTTCATTGTGCATTCCAATTAATCTCAATCATACTGCAGTTGGGTTATTCTGATTAGGTTAAAAAATATCTGAAAAATACAGCTAACTAACACAATAAAGCACAATAAAAACATGATAACATACTAAAAAAACAAGATTTTTGAAAATTATCTGTTTTTGCAAATACACTCTTCACATATATATATATATATATATATTTTTTTTTTTTTCTAAAAA